GTAAGACGGCACCCAGTCCACAATCGGGTTCGAACTTCGGTTGGGGCACCACTTGGGGCTGGGTATGACTGGCTGATGACGGCTAATAAGCCAGAAATGGCCATCTTGGTTGTTAATAATGATTGGCTTTCCGTAATGCAATGCTAGTTTCATCACCTGAATAGACGCACCCGAGGTCAGTAACTGTGTCAAAAGACAGTCAGGATAATTATGATATTCTTTGTGTGTCAAAAGACAGTCCGGATAACTAGGTGGTGTGTTTCTACGGTAAGATTAACAGTGCAGGATAGGGGAAAATGCGAGGTAGATATTGAAAGGAGGGTGGACGTACGTTCGAGGTACTTAGACGAGCAGTCGTGTGAATGACGTAGACGCGTTGCTGCCAGTCTATAGTGGAATAAGCACACGGAGCAGGAATCAAAGAACGAGGGGGCGAATAAAGACACAGTGCGGGGAACAAACACCGTAGAGAATGGTGAATAAGGACACTTGAATAAAAATCGCATTGTGTCAACGAGGTCAAGGGGTCAGGAAATGGGACAAAGCACATGGGCACAGGGTCGGATGAAGAACATGGACCATCAGTAGGTGACTAAGCGGGCTCAGGGATACATACTTCGGCGTTGTAGGCAAGACGTGTACTGAGAAGAGAGAAGGAGAAAAAAACGCTTTGTTTTGATGGTACCATCCAACATTTTCATCAAAAATATCTCTCGTTGACGAACGTTCATCGAACGTTAACAAATCTCGCTTGTGCTGCTCCGCCTTTGCCTTGGGCCTTATATATCGGGCCCTGACAGCAGCTGTAGTAGTCAGTAGATAGTATTTTCGACAAGGACAAAGGGAGACCGGAATGGCAATTTCTGGCTTATTAGCCGTCGTCAGCCAGTCATACTTAGCCTGTTACTATCTCTATTCACGGAGACTACGGGATAGATGAAAAAAATACTCAACAGTTTAGAATGTTACTATGCCGATTTACTAACCATAGCATGTGTCGGTAGCTTCGGCGCATAGTGTTATAACGACGGGTTCAGCGTCGCTAGTGTTATAACGATGGCATCTGACGTGTGTCACCGTCAAATTACGCCCTGTTGAAATCCCGAAGGAAGAACAAAATAAGAAGGGCATAATTCCGGAATCCACCCGGAGGAGGGTTTATTGTGTAC